ATATACGGCCTCACACGACCTTTACCTTTGACCCTATGAGGTTGTGACCTGATCAGTTTATCTACCTTTGATAGGGAGCTATCACCTCTGATTTGGTCAAAATCATTCAACCCGTTCAGGCAATTTTTGATATATATATGACCTCACACAACCTTGACCTTTGACCCTATTACATTGTGTTCCTAATCAGTTCATGTACCCTTCATAGTAATAAAATACACAGGCGAGGGTCCGACTCTCTGGAGGACGCCATGTTGGATTCTATGTTTATTTAGCTGTATTTATGGTTTTGCTGGTGGTTTTTGACTCCTTTGAAAACTGTGCAACAACACTCTTCTTCTTCCTTTTCTCGTGTGTTATTTGGCGGATGGCACTCAACATAAAAAGATGCATTTCTCAAACAATTAATGTATTGGAGCGTGAACCTGAGTCATTAATCTCATATCCTAATTTGAGAGTTACAGCTAGAGTCCAGAGAGTTTTGTTGGCTTTATGAGCATTAGTTAGTAAGGTCCTCACTTGAACAAAAAATACAGCTTGTTTGCAGTGACTTTGGTATTTACTACCCCCTATTGCCAGAAATCTACACACTTTCCCTTTAAGCGCGTTGTCTCTTTAAGACTGGTCCTGGGTGACATTGGAGTTTACAGCAAGGCCGTAGAAATTCTCTGTCTGGATATTTATTGTGGAGATTAATGGACTAAAATGGGTTGCTGCACCGTGACTGTCTTCTCCTTTTTTTGGAGAGTAAAAACTATATTTTGGTTTTTAAATGCTGCCGCTGCACCGTATTAAGAAATCATATTACTGGTTGGTTCGAAATGGGTTGAAATGTTCACATTTCTTCTTTGCTTTACATGCTGATCACTAAAGCGTGCTTTAATTAATATTGCGTTTTCGTAAAACGTAAGAGCAAACAAGGGGGATTTTAATTGACAAAAATAATAAAATCAGCACATTTCCAAGCCAACTGCGGTTAACATTGGCACGTCGGCTTGAAAAATATCTCCTTTTTGCCGTAAATAACACACATTTCATAGCTGTTGTGGGTTATTTATGTGTTCATCAGTGCTTGAGAACTGTAACTTTGGGGAGCGGGTCGTAATTGTGGGCTTTTAATGCGGTGCTGTCTGTGGCGAGGTGTTGGTAGGGTCTGATCGGAGCTGCAGCCAGAGCGTTTTGCCCGACCAGCGGCTGCTGGGAGCTGGTCCACGGTGAAGCAGCCCACGCAGCCGAACGAGGGCTTCCCGGCTCTACCTAAGAGCTGACCGCAGCGGCCCCGACGACCGCGGGCCAGCGACCCGAGAAATAACATGGGGAGTCCTGCTGCTGCCTGCTGTTGTTTGTTTTCCGTAGTAAATACCTGAATATGCAGAGACTCAACAGGTCATTCAGTTGTGTGGTATCATTCAGATGATCAAATGAAATGTTGCAACATTAATATCAGTTTACCTGATCTTGATCAATAATCACATTGATGAATTGGTGCATGAATAACTACAAACCCTGCTTCCTGCAGCAGCTTTTTCTGCTCTAGATTTATGATCTGCTATTTGTATATTTCAACGAAAAAGACGGAAATGGCATTAATTATTTAGATTTATTTGTGGATTTTTTTGTCGATGTTAACCCTGTTGTGTCTCAGTTCATGAAGCTGTTTTCAATGTTTCCCGCGATGCGAGCAGCTGATTGTGCAGCAGATGGCCGCGGACATGATCAATTTCGAAGTGCTAGTTCTGGATCAAGAGAAAGCCTGCTGTGCTGTGCCGATGATTTTATTTTGCGAGGATGGATTGAGGAAGGGGGACACACATGCTTAAATATCGACTGTCGGCAATAATCAGATTCATACTCATAAAATACTTGTTAACATGTTTTGTGTGTGTGTGTGTGTGTGTGTGTGTGTGTGTGTGTGTGTGTGTGTGTGTGTGTAACTCTGCCCACTAATCCGTTACGTATTTTGTTTCTTGTTGACATAAATACAAAAATTATGCAAAAGAAAAGAAGTAAAATAATGTACACAACTAAAGTGTATGATCCAGTATCGAACCCGCGACCTTCACCATTGCAGGCGAACGCGTTAGTCACTAGACCACCGGCTCTAGGTGCTACATCTCCTCGCAAATTCATACCTTTAAAACACTATGAGTGCTGGAGGCTTTACAGCAACGTATGTAAAATAGAGCCTTTTTTATTATTATAAACTTGTCGCTTCCGTACAAATGTGAAACAATATATCTGACGGAGATTTCTGCGGAGTTTCTGCACTTTCCTGTCAACAGAAACAGACATGCTGTCTGCCGCTGCCTTCCGCCTCCAGGCTTTTTCAGACTAATAACTGAAAACTAAAGACTGCACACGTTAACTGAACAAAGATTACAGCAATACACCACAACTTTCTCGCTACAAATATCGTCAAAACATATTTATGTGCTCAAACGATCTTAGTTTATCAAATTTTCTCTTAGAACAGCCTGAACAGAGTCCGCCATACTTTCTCTGTTTCTCAGTCCTACATGGACCAATCACATAGCTGTTCTGCATTTCTTCATTTGCATGTAAAGGCCGGATTTGCTCACTAGCTAACTAGTGAGCAGTACAGCGGTCGAACTAGTTAACATGTTACACAGAATGCCAGCCAAGTGTGTATTTATTCAAATTCCACAAATTTACTAGTTTTAGGGGCATTTTTCTGCAGCTAGTTAACTAGTGACAGTGTTTTGTGTTCACTACTTAACATGTAAGGCTCAGTTTGCCCTCTATAAGCTAGTGAGAAAAAATTATAATGCAGATATGCTCACTAGTTAACTAGTGAGTGCTTCCTGTCCCATTACAAGTGAACTAGAAAGGCCAAATATGTCAACTAGTTAACTAGTGAAGGTAAATTTGTCACTAGTTAACTAGTAAGAACACATTTTTACATAACAAGTAAACTAGATTGCTCCAAAAACAGCAACTAGTGTGCGTCTTGTGCGCACTAGTTAACTAGTGAGCATATCTGCACCTCACTAGTTAACTAGTGAGCATATCTGCACCTCACTAGTTAACTAGTGAGCAAATCCGCACCTCACTAGTTAACTAGTGAGCAAATCCGCACCTCACTAGTTAACTAGTGAGCAAATCCGCACCTCACTAGTTAACTAGTGAGCAAATCCGCACTTCACTAGTTAACTAGTGAGCAAATCCGCGCCTCACTAGTTAGCTAGTAAGCAAATCCGCACTTCAATAGTTAACTAGTGAGCATATCTGTGCCTCACTAGTTAACTAGTGAGCAAATCCGCACCCTACTAGTTAACTAGTTGGCGTTTTGGGGCCCACTAGTTAACTAGTGAGCATATCTGCACTTTACAAGTTAACTAGTGATGCTTTTTTGCACCTTACTAGTTAACTAGTGGGTGCTTTAGGGCACACTAGTTAACTAGTGAGCAAATCTGCACCTCACTAGTTAACTAGTGAGCAAATCCGCACATCACTAGTTAACTAGTGAGCATATCTGTGCCTCACTAGTTAACTAGTGAGCAAATCCGCACCCTACTAGTTAACATGTTGACATTTTGGGGCCCACTAGTTAACTAGTGAGCATATCTGCACTTTACAAGTTAACTAGTGATGCTTTTTTGCACCTTACTAGTTAACTAGTGGGCGCTTTAGGGCGCACTAGTTAACTAGTAAGCAAATCTGCACCTCACTAGTTAACTAGTGAGCATATCCGCACCTTACTAGTTAACTTGTGGGCGATTTGGGGCCCACTAGTGAACTAGTGACACTTATTTTGCACCTCACTAGTTAACTAGTGGACATTTGTACCCTCTCTAGTTAACTAGTGAGCAGTTCTGCCTTCACAAGTTTACATGTAAGTGTCACACTGAAGCCACTACTAGTTCACTAGCTGAGGTTCCTCTGGCCAGCATGTTAACTTGTGTGCCGCATGCAAATGTTTGGGGTGGGATTTTACGAAATTCCGCACTGTGATTGGTTGTCATATTTTATTTTGACACAGGGAGCCAATAGAGAGTCTTAATTTGAGAAATTCTCCGCCTCCTAATTAGAATTCTGCGCAACTAGCTAGCTAGTGTGAATGTAGACTTGAACTAGTTTACTAGTATACATTTATGTCCTCACTAGTTAACTAGTTTGGACAATGGATGCATCAACTAGGTAACTAGTGAGCCTGCTGCCATCAACTAGCTAGCTAGTGAGCCATTAATGGTTCACTAGTTAACTAGTGGCACTGACCTACTCCAACTAGTTAACTAGTTAGGAGTTAAGCCTTCACTAGTTAACTAGTGTGCACATTTTGGCCATCAATAGTTAACTAGTGAGACACAAAAAACCTTCAACTAGCTGACTGGTATGCACTTTGGCCTTTACTAGTTAACTAGTGAGCCATTTATGTGACAACTAGTTAACTAGTGAAGCCAAAATGTGTTCACTAGTTAACTAGTGCACATTTATGTCTACCACAAGTTAACTAGTGTGCACATTTTGGCCATCACTAGTTAACTAGTGAGACACAAAAACCTTCAACTAGCTGACTGGTATGCATTTTGGTCTTTACTAGTTAACTAGTGAGCCATTTATGTGTCAACTAGTTAACTAGTGAAGCCAAAATATGTTCACTAGTTAACTAGTGCGCATTTATCTCTACCACAAGTTAACTAGTGTGCACATTTTGACCCTCACTAGTTAACTAGTGAGACAAATACCTTCAAGTAGCTGACTGCTATGCATTTCTGCTTTTACTAGTTAACTAGTGAGCAGTTTTTGTGTCAACTAGTTAACTACTGAAGCCTAAATGTGTTCACTAGTTAACTAGTGCGCATTTCTGCTGTCACTAGTTAACTAGTGGGCACATTTTCACCCTCGATATTTAACTAGTTGACACAAACATGTCTAACTAGTTAACTAGTGGACAGAAATGGCTTACATGTTCATGACAATTCTGGCTGATATCCTGATATCAGAATAAATGCTCATTTGGCTTGCCATAAAATTAGCTTATTCTGCAAAATAGCATTTTGACATGTGTTCCTTTGTGTGTGATTGTTCAGGCATGCGTGTATGTAGGTATCAAAGCACTTTACAGATCTTCAAAGGACAGATCTGTGATCATTATCTGGAGTGGTTGAGCAGGTGTGGGCCATGGGAGTGTAGGGGGGGGGGCACAGGTTCTCACACTCTGTTGACTTCATGAATATTCATCAAAGGCATGCTATATATCAAAAATCAAAGGATTTTCTGCTAAATTTCAGATACTCATTCACAATTTTACTTTTGCAAAATGTTATTTCAATAAGTACAAAGCATTTGCATGGATGAAAGCTAAGATGAAGGCTGAAAAACTTCAAAGGCATACATTTGTTTTTCAAAACAAATTCCTGCAGAATCGAATTTTGTTTACATTCAGTAGGGGCAGCTTACACAGGTGCACCAATTGACTAAAAGTACATATATGAGACTCAGATCAGGATTCATTTCTTTGAACCGCAACCATGAGAAGAAGATTCAATGTGAATGAAGCCCTGGAGGTGTTTCAGCAGCTTGAGGAAGAGGGAGAGTCAGCCTCATCCTCATCCACGGATGACACCTGCATGTTCTTCGGATGAAGAGGCTGAAGATCAGGCCTTTACCCCAGGGCCTGATTCAGGGGAAGAAATGGAAGAAGGTTCAGATGAGGAGGTGGTTGCTGCAGAGGAGAGATGGGACCATCCTTTGTGGCAATCAAAGAGCGGGATCGCCTGGTCCCCGACACCCGACACCAGGATCCCCTTTCGGGCTCCAGACGTCCGCCATTGTGGGATCACCCGCCTCGCTGTCAGCTACATCCAAACTATTGAGGACAGCTTCGATTTTTTTTTAACTACAACAATCCTAGATGTAATAATAAAATACACCAATATAGAGGGAAGAAGAAAATATGACGATTGGACAGACGTTGACCGCGTGGAACTCCGGGCATTGTTTGGGTTGCTCATCCTCGCTGGTGTGCACCGTTCCCGTGGGGAATCATCTGCCAGCCTCTGGGGGGAGGAAACGGAGAGGCCGATATTCAGAGCCACGATGAGTTTGGGAAGGTTCCACATGCTGACTGCAACATTGCGCTTTGATGACCGCTTGACCAGGGCAGCCCGCCGGTTGGTGCAGCAGGGCAAGCTCGCTCCCCTGCGGGAAGTGTGGGACCTCTGGGCGGCCCGGCTCCCTCTCGCCTACAACCCCGGTGAAGATGTCTGCGTTGATGAACAGCTCGTCGGATTCAGAGGTCGCTGCAACTTCAAGCAGTACATGCCCTCAAAACCGGCAAAATATGGCATCAAGCTGTGGGTGGTGTGCGATGTGGCCACTTCTTATGCCTGGGGGATTATTCCCTATCTGGGCAAGACGACTCGAGACGCCCCGGCAGAAAGGGGGCAAGGGAAGCGGGTGGTGCTGGAACTCACGGAGGGTCTGAGCGGCCGCACTGTCACCACGGACAATTTTTTCACCTCGCTGGTTCTTGGAGAGGAGCTGCTAAAAAAAAAATCTGTCTTGTGGGAACAGTTAGGCGCAACAAGCCAGAGTTGCCCCCACAGCTGCTCCAGATGAAAAGCAGAGCGGTTCTGTCCTCCCTGTTCGGCTTCACCTCCACCGCCACCGCGGTGAGCTACTCCAAAGCGCCGGCGGAACGTTCTGCTCCTCGGCACCAAACCCCATCAGGTTCAGATCCAGGAGGGACCGCAGCAGAAGCCGACCGTAATCATCGATTACAACCGCTGCAAAGGGGCAGTTGACAACTTGGACAAGGTAATTTATTTATTTTATTTTGTTTTATTATAATTCACCAACCTAATTGCATATGTAATTTATTTATTCATTTATTTTTATTCCAGCTCGTTGCAACATACAGCTGCCGCCGCAAGACCAGACGTTGGCCCATGTCGCTCTTCTGCAACATGTTAGATGTGAGCGCCTACAATGCCCTGGTCCTGTGGATGTCTGTGGAACCGGCCTGGAACCAACAGAAGAGGAGCATCCGTCGAAGGCTGTTCTTGCAGGAGCTTGGGACCTCCATGGTGAGACCAGCCCAGGCGAGGCGCGCTTGCCGCGGTCCAGCAGCGCTGCAGCTCTGTTGGAGGTGCAGCAGCAAGTGGAGCCAGGTCCAGCCCAGGAGCAGACAAAGAAAAGATGCCACCTTTGCAGAGGGAAGAGGAGCGTGCATGCACGCTTTTGCCATGCATGTGGACAGGCTGTGTGCAAGGAGCACTCAACAGTTGTGTGCTCAGCCTGCAGCTGTTAGCTCACTCCCCTCTGTGTTTCTCTCTCTTTCTCTCTCTCTCTCTCTCTCTCTCTCTCACACACACACACACACACACACACACACACACACACACACACACACACACACACACACACACACACTTTTTCTTTGTTCGTGTGCTTTAATAAAGTGTTCAACTGGTCATCTTTGTAAGTGCATTTTTTTGTGCTCTAATGACTTTAACGTGAGTATTTTAGAAAATATGACATTACACAAAAACTACAAAGTGAGCAAAAAATATTTTTATGCCTATTTGTGACACTCCAAGGCTGTGACAACTTACCCACAAAAAAGGTCATCTGGACATAACACACAAAAAATGATTTGATTTTTTCATTTTTTGTACAGTTTTCAAACTTCGGGTTTTGCTAATAAACCTAGCAATAAAGGGGTTAAATCTGAGAAACACACACATATTTTATTATATTTTGTTAGGGCTGAAGCCAAGGATGAAATTCATGTAAAAAAATTGGGACTTATGAAATATTATATAATATTTCTATGGGAAGCTTTCTAAGTGCATTTTTTTGTGCTCTAATGACTTTAACGTGAGTATTTTAGAAAATATGACATTACACAAAAACTACAAAGTGAACAAAAAATACTTTTATGCCTATTTGTGACACTCCAAGGCTGTGACAACTTACCCACAAAAAAGGTAATCTGGACATAACACACAAAAAATGATTTGATTTTTTCATTTTTTGTACAGTTTTCAAACTTTGGGTTTTGCTAATAAACCTGGCAATGAAGGGGTTAAATCTGAGAAACACACACATATTTTATTATATTTTGTTAGGGCTGAAGCCAAGGATGAAATTCATGTAAAAAAATTGGGACTTATGAAATATTATATAATATTTCTATGGGAAGCTTTCTAAGTGCATTTTTTTGTGCTCTAATGACTTTAACGTGAGTATTTTAGAAAATGTGACATTACACAAAAACTACAAAGTGAGCAAAAAATATTTTTATGCCTATTTGTGACACTCCAAGGCGGTGACAACTTACCCACAAAAAAGGTAATCTGGACATAACACACAAAAAATGATTTGATTTTTTCATTTTTTGTACAGTTTTCAAACTTTGGGTTTTGCTAATAAACCTGGCAATGAAGGGGTTAAATCTGAGAAACACACACATATTTTATTATATTTTGTTAGGGCTGAAGCCAAGGATGAAATTCATGTAAAAAAATTGGGACTTATGAAATATTATATAATATTTCTATGGGAAGCTTTCTAAGTGCATTTTTTTGTGCTCTAATGACTTTAACGTGAGTATTTTAGAAAATGTGACATTACACAAAAACTACAAAGTGAGCAAAAAATATTTTTATGCCTATTTGTGACACTCCAAGGCTGTGACAACTTACCCACAAAAAAGTTAATCTGGACATAACACACAAAAAATGATTTGATTTTTTCATTTTTTGTACAGTTTTCAAACTTCGGGTTTTGCTAATAAACCTGGCAATGAAGGGGTTAAATCTGAGAAACACACACATATTTTATTATATTTTGTTAGGGCTGAAGCCAAGGATGAAATTCATGTAAAAAAATTGGGACTTATGAAATATTATATAATATTTCTAAAGGAAGCTTTCTAAGTGCATTTTTTTGTGCTCTAATGACTTTAACGTTAGAAAATTTAAACGTTGGGTAAGGGTTAAGTTCATCCAGGACCAGATGTCAGAGAGGCAGTCCAGAGGAGGCTGAACAGAGCCTGCAATATTCAGCTTCAAGGGAAAATACACCTGGCAGTCATCAGCGTACAAATGAAAACTATAATATATAATAATGTATAATTACCAGAGGTGTGGACTCAAGTCACATGACTTGGACTCGAGTCAGACTCGAGTAATTATTTTAATGACTTCTGACTTGACATGATAAAATCTATAAAGACTTATGACTGGACTGACTTGAATGCCAAAGACTTGCGATTTGAATCAACTTGCATCTGTTGACTTGAGCATATCTGATATTTTAGCACAAAAGTGGCAACATGGACAAAAATCCAGGGGCGGCTGGTCCATAGGGGCGATTGGGGTGACGCCCTCCCAAGAAAAAAGGAGTTTTTTTTTCATTCATCATTGCTGTTCAGGTCCACCATTATGGTTTGCTTGTCTGTGCTGTCCAACCAGTTTGAGCCCTGCTGGGAGTTCCACCCTTATTTGTTTATCAATAACCCCATTTCCTTTAGTGAAGAGAGAGGGAGACAATGCGCAGACAAGTCAAACAGTTATAACTGTGGCATGATGCACGAGGCAAAATGCCCCGAACATCTGGTCAGAGTTTATTTATACCAAGAGATAAGAAAGGAATGAAAGTGAGATCATGTGTGAGAGAGAGAGTGTGTGTGTGGGAAGTCAAGAATGTGTGTGTGAGTGGCTTGTGTGGGTGTGTCTGAATAAGTGATCATGCAAAGAGGCATAGAGCAATACATATTACATTCAGTTGATTGAATCAATGATCAAGAATTAATAAACATAAAATTTCCATAACAATGTTCCTTATGAAGGCAGAGTCAACTTCTTGTAGTGTTGCTGTAGATTTTGCAGAATGGGAAAAATCTCACCCCAGAACTTTAGTTGATGCAGTTTGCAAGTGTGGAGGAGCAGCAGCTTTACTCCAAAACCCTCCCAGATATCCAAGCTCCTCACCTCATAGCTGCCAATCAGAGGATGGGTGGGCGTAACCGGCCCCTGCTTGTTTCATTGAAGTGACAGGGCCCTGAAATGGCTCATTCTGGAAGGTAATGAAACTGTGGAATAAAGCTGCTGAGATGGTTTATGTGAGACCAGAGCTCTATAGGCGACCGTGCCTTCAGGCTGTGCCCCCCACCTGGTGGAGCGCTCTACCTCTGTCCCTGAGCTCTTTAACTTCTGTGGAGTCTTTTAAAAACAGCTGAAGACACACTTGTTTACACAGGCTTTTAACTAAATGTGGGTTTTTGTAAGAGCATGTTTACACTGGCTCAAAGCTAATTATGAGCTTTCTGATTGCGTGTTTCTCTATATTTGACTTTTTCTACATGTGTTGTGAAGCTCTTTGTGATTCTTTCACTGAAAGGTGTTATGTACATAAACGTTTCCGACAGAAAATACAAACAGATTGTCACAGCTGTTTTGCACTTGGACATGTGCTTTTACACAACGGGCTCCCTGTGAAAATGAACACGAGTGTGAAGCTTCAGCAGACAGAAGCAGTAAGTCGGAGGCTGATATATCTGCACCGACAGCCTTAAACAACAGCAGAGGAAGATAGCGAGGTCGGTGTGAAATATGATTAAAGCACAGCCTTCCCATGTCTTTGATTTAAAAGGAGCGTGGTGCGAACAACCCATCTCCTCCACCCACACATCGACGGGAAAAAGTTAAAATTGTGATAAATAAATGTAAGAAACAGGAAAAAGAAAAATAATTATATTTACATTTTAATTATCATGCTATGCCACATGTCTGATTTTGTCCATCCATCCATTTTCTTCCGCTTATCCAGAGTTGGGTTGCGGGGCAGCAGCCTAAGCTGAGAGGCCCAGATTTCCCTCTCCCCGGCCGCTTGGACCAGCTTCTCGGGGGAATCCAGAGGCGTTCCCTGGCCAGCCGAGGGTCATAGTCCCTCCAGGGTGTCCTAGGTCTTCCTTTAGGTCTCCTCCTGGTTGGACGTCTACATATATGATGTCTGTGGCAAGCAACTGCAGCACCCCAGTCAGTCAGGAAGAGTCATTCTTGTAAGCTATCGATTAAATATTTTCCGGAATTACATCAATGTATCCTTGCAGCGGTAAAGCTGGCAGCGCATAGTTTTTTTTAAATCTATAGATTATTGATTCTACTGGGACAGTATGATGGAGCTATAATCATCTAAGAACTGGCCAGCTAAGAGCTCCCAGTGGAAGCACTATGGACGCAGAAATTAAATATTCAACAAGTAAACAAACTACCGATTTTAGTTCTGAAGATGAACAGAATCTTCCGGGTCGTGGGTCTTCTGAGTCAAACAGTATCAAACATGTCTGCACTGCAGCTAGCGGGTGGTCAGACTTCGGTCGAAATTTGGGCAATCCGATATCTGTTCTCGTTGTCCCCTTCCAGAGAAAAAAATCTGTCCGACTAGAAAAGATTTCAGAAGCTGAATCTGATGGATGACGCGCTGACTAGAGGGCTGCATCGGGATTGGGTCCCGCGGGACCCAACACAAATTTTGCGGGGGCGGTCGGTGTGAACTTTGCTGCGGGCGGGAACGGTCGGCTAAAAGAAACAGTGCGGGATCGGGATGAATATGATCGAGTCGACAACTGATGTTGAAAAGAAGCTGAAACAAGGTCTTTATGACACAAAAACCAAAGCAAGTCAAGTCAGACATTTGGAGGAGTTTCTCCGATCAGGTCTCTCTTACAAAAACGACCTCGATCACTGCCTGATTACAGAGGAGAATAGAATATGAATATGAAATGACCTTGATTTCATTAATCCTTTAAGCGCCACACAGTAGCTCCTTTATGTTTTTTTAAGAATTGTATAGTTTAAGTAGCGAGGAGTTATTTGAAATCACATGCGCCAAGGCATCACCGGTGATCCTGGTGACGCATCAGCGTTAAAGGGTTAAAAATTAAATGAAAACAAAGTGCGTCAATCCTGACCAATGTGTTAAAAGA